AAAAACAAACAGCAACATTAGCTTAAACATTGTGACAAATAAAATGAACAACAAATAAAAGAAACTAAAGAAGAACACGAATAGAAAACAGAAGAAAACAATCACTTTTAGCCCGGTTGGTATTCTTTAGCATTGATGTCATTCATATTATTCACACACACTCTCATGTGTGCTCTGCTATTTATACAAAACCAAAAAATTATCAGTGAGTATAGTTTTTTATGCTTTTTTCTATAAAGAGAGCTTTTTTTTTGAAAGAGTAAGTTATTATTGATATTTCAGCGAGTGATGTTGTTAACGAAGTGGATATATAGAAAAAAGAGTGAATGAATGTGTGTGAGCGAGAGTGAGTGTGACGAGCTTTACACGAGGTTTATTATACAAAAAATTATTGTATTTGTTATAATAATTTTGTTTTTGTTTGATTTTTTTTATTCTTATTAAATACAGGCAACAAAAACAACTTCGATTTTTAGTTAATTCTGGGCTCTCGCATGGAGTAGAAGTGTAAATTTTATATCGTAAGCAAGTGGTAAAGTGTTAAGAAAAAGATCTTTAGTTTTTTTTTGTTTTCTTCTGTAAAACAAGTAAAAAAATGTAATTGTAAAGGAAAATAAGAAAAAAACAAAACAACAAAACCAGAGCATAGTGATCTTTTAATAATGAGCAAAAAAACAAACAAAAAAGTGTGGTAAAGAAGGGGGGGAGCATTTACTAAATAGCTAGACAATTCATTCAACAACTGAAAATATTAACAACTATAACGTAACAACGTATGATGATTAAGAAAATAACAAATTGTTAAAAAAAGCAAGAAGTTTTTTTTTATTAAAAAAAAAAGCTAAAAAGTACAAAAGTGTGTATCTTTGAAAAGTAAATAAAAACAACAACAACAACAACGACGACGTTGATATTGTCAGTGTAATGAAAAATACAGTGAGTGTTATTATCATATTTGGTATGATAGATACAAATGCTAGTAATAGATGTTTTTGTTTGAAAGGCAGGGATGGAAAAGTGTGTGGTTATTTTAAAGAATCATTTTAATAAAATGATGAAGTATTTAAAAATTGTATAAAAAAAAAACTTAAAATTTGTTTAATTTTGTGATCTAAAGATACTTTTATTCACAAACTTTTTTATCACAAATGGAACAACTTTGTTATTTTGGACATTTTTAAAACTTAACGAAACTTTCAAAATTAAAGATTCTAAAGAAAAACTTTCTTTGTAAACTATTGAAAGTTCAAATTTTGATTTATGTCTGAAAATTGTGAGAAAATTTGGAACATTTTTCCAACTTAACGAAACTTTATTTTCAAAATTAATAGATTTAAACAAAAACTTTCAATGTAAACTTTAAAAGTGCTACAATGTTCATTACAAAATCAAAAAATTTTATAATTTTGGGAAATATTACAACTTAACGAAACTTTTTTTTTCGGGAAAAATAAACAATTTAAAAGAAAACTATTTCCTTTTAAACATAAAATATGAAACTTTAATAAAATTTAAGTAAAATTTTGCTATTTTGGAAAAATTTCAAACTTAACGAAACTTTTTTTTCGGAAATTAAAACAACAACAACACTTTTCTTTGCTTTATTACAATATCCATTAAAATTTATTTCGTTTTAAAGAAAAATGTTCCAATTTTGAACATTTAAAAAACTTAACGAAACTTTATTTTCTAAAACAAAAGTTCTGACCAAGAATATTTGCAATATTTATATAAAATACATAGATCGAGCTAATTTTTTTACCATTTTGGACTTTTAAAAAACTTAACGAAACTTTATTTTGAAAACTAAAAATGTTAGTGAAAAAGTACTTAAGATTTCGTTTAAAACTCTTCAATTTTGATGTAATTCCAGAGAAATTTTCCAATTTTGGAAATTTTAAAAACTTAACGAAACTTTATTTTCTAAACTAAAGATCTTAAGCAAAAACTTTTAAAATGTTCATATAAAAAACATCAAATTTTAATAAAAATCTAGAAAACTTTTTTCTATTTTGGACTTTTAAAAAACTTAACGAAACTTTATTTTCTAAACTAAACATGTTAGAGAAAAAGTACATAAGATTTCATTTAAAACTCTTAGATTTTGATGTAATTCCACAGAAATTTTCCAATTTTGGAAATTTAAAAAAAACTTAACGAAACTCTATTTTCTAAACTAAAGATGTTAGCAAAAAAGTACTTAAGGATTCATTTAAAATGTTTAAATTTTGATGTAAAACAAGAAAAATTTCCCAGTTTTGGAAATTTGAAAAACTTAACGAAACTTTTTTTTCTAAACTAGGAATCCAAATGAAGAAATATTAATGGATTCGTTTAAAACATTTAAATTCTGATATAAACCAAGAAAAATTTTCGAATTTTAGACTTTTTAAAAACTTAACGAAACTTTATTTTCTTAACGAAAGGTTTTAGAGAGCAAAACTGTACGCCTACGTTTAAAAAATATTAATTAGTATATAAATTCAGAAAATTTTGGAAATTTTGTTCTTAAAAAAAAACTTAACGAAACTTTATTTCCTTAACGCAATATTTTTTATTAGAAGTTTTGCCATATTCGTTTAATTTAGTTAACATAATATACAAATCAAGAACATTTTTAAAATTCTGACTATTAAAAAAACTTAACGAAACTTTAGTTTTTTAACGAAATGTTATTCGAATGAAATTTTGGTTAATTCGTTTAATTTAAGTAATTTAATAAACTAATCAAGAGAATTGTTCCAAATTTGGAGATTTAAAAAACTTAAACGAAACTTTATTTTCTTAATTAAAATTAGTTTTTAAAGAAAAATCTTTCAATTCCTTAAAAATATACAAATTACTTTAAATACCTAAAAAGATTTCATCATTTTTAGCATTTTACGTATTTACTCAAAAAGTTGAAGAAATTAACAATACTACAGTTATTACCATCCCTGCCTTTACAGTGGTGAGTTTAATATTCAGTTCAGTTGAATTTGTGTATGAATATTTATAACAGTTGTTGTTGTTGTTAGTATTATTACTTGACGATTGTTGCTCGCTCTCTTTTATTTTTTCTATGTAAATATCTTCGTCATAATGTCGTTTTATTTCATTAAGACAAACTCGTCATCTTTTAAACATAATCATCATCAGGCGATGTTAAACTTAATGATGATAAAAGATATACATAACAACAACAAACAGACAATATTGTTCGTGTATGAGTAAAATGTAAACAAAAAGAAAAAAATAAACGAAAACGTAACCAAAACATGTTGCTTCGTGCATTATTTGGTAATGTTGGAGTGTGATAACAGCGTTTGATTGAAAAAAACGTAATAAAAACACGTGTGATAAATAAATTTAAAATAAAATTATAAAAATTCTAAGAAATTTTAAACAAGTTAAAAAAATAAAGATTAAAATTAAATAAAAATGAATAAAAAATCAAATAAATTAATATAAAATTAGAAAAAATGCAAAAAATAAAAATTAATAGAAAAAGTGCACTTAACGAAACTTTAATTTTCAAATTTAATGAAATTTAAAAGAAAAGATATTATATTCTTAAATATTCATAAAATACCTTTTAAAACTTGAAAAGATTTGGAATTTGAACAATTTAAAAAACTTAACGAAACTTTATTTTTTAAAAAGAAACATTTTACAAAAGAGTTTTTGTTATATTCATCTAGCTTAAGAAATTTTATATAGAAATCAATAAAATTTCAAAATTTTGGTAGATTTATAAAACTTAACGAAACATTATTTTCTTAACGAAACATTTTTTTTAAATAAACTTTGCTACATTTGTTTACTTTAGATAATTTTATATACAAATCGAGAAAAATTTTGAAAATTGTACAATTTAAAAAACTTAACGAAACTTTATTTTCTTAACGAAATATTTTTGAAGAAAATTTTTTGTGAATTTCGTTAGCTTATGAAATATTATACACAAATCAAACAAAATTTTGAAAATTGGTCTATTTAAAAAAACTTAACGAAACTTTATTTTCTTTACGAAACATTTTTGAAGAAATGATTTTGCGAATTTCGTTAATTTATGAAATATTATGCTCAAATCAAGATAAACTTTGAATATTAGACTATTTAAAAAACTTAACGAAACTTTATTTTCTTAACGAAACATTTTTGATAAAATTTGTTATACATTCTTGTAGTCTGAGTAATTTTATACATAAATCAAGAAAACTTTTGCTAATAGGACGAAATAAAAAACTTAACGAAACTTTATTTTCTTAACGAAACATATTTTCAGCAAAAATTTTATAAATTCGTTTAATTTAGCAATTTAAAATACAAATAAAGTAAATTTTTGGCAATTGGACAATTTAAAAAACTTAACGAAACTTTATTTTTTAAAGAAAAACATTTTATGAAAAAAAAAAAAATATTCATGTTTTAAGCTATGATTAACTTCTATGCTTCTATGGAGAAGTTATTGAGTTTGAACTATATAAAAAACTTAACGAAACATTTTTTACCTTAACAAAACACTTTTTGCAAGAATTTCCGCCATATTTGTTTTAATTTGTTACAGTAATGTTTAATATAATCAAAAAATTTTAAAATTTAATCATATAAAAAAAACTTAACGAAACTTCATATTCTTTAACGAAACCTGTTTTAAACAAAATTTTGCTTTAAACATTTAAATTTCTTAATCGGGTTTATGAAAAAAACTTAACGAAACTTTTTTTCTAAAGATTTTTTTAATATTCTATTTAGTTTAAAAAGCTAGATTTTTATTAATAAAATTATTTTTATATTTTACAGAAATTTACTTAAATATAAACAAATTTTCTAATAAACATGTAAATTTAAAAAAAAGTTACAAAAAAACTCTAAAAACTGAACTTTAATCTTAAAAACACAAACTCTACTTAATAAAATCCCACACAAAAACTGTGATACCACGAGAACAACAAAAAAGAGCAAAATACTTAAAAAGAACTCTTAAACAAACAGGAAAGAGAAAAACAAACACAAAAATGCCACCCAAACGAGATCCCTCCAACAATAACAACAACGAAACCCCAACAACTTCCACCTCAAACAATTCCACCACAACAGCAGCAGTATTACAAAATAGTAACACAGCCGTACCAGCACAGGCAGCAATAGCAATACAACAACAACAGCAGCAGCTGCTGCTGCTGCTGCCTCCGCCAATGCTTTGCCAGTTTAATAGCCGATGCTGCTGCGGAACAGCGCACCATTGCCTACCAGGCCAATGCAAAATTATGTCGTCTGGTACGCAAATGTCCCTGGATGTATGATCGTAATCATCATAATTATGCCAAAAAGCATATATTAGATAAATCATGGTGTAAAATTGCCAGAGAATGTAATGATTCAGGTAAGTTTGTTAAGAAAAAAAAAAAAAAAAAAATAAATAAACACATTTCTTATTATCTTCTCTTCAACACCCCTTTTTTCCTATAAGAAAAAAAAACCTAAAAATCCCACAGTAATATTTAAAATACAACAAAAATATTAAAAGAAACTCATTATTATTACTGCTCTTATCAGTTTTAGAGCACATATAGCAGGGATGGAAAATTCAGTACTATTGTACATTAAAACCATAAAATATTTACTAGATTTGGACTATTTATTAGATTAAATTACCATACTATAATCGACGCTCTAACCAAAACTAGGCTAGAGGGATTAGACTGGACTATAAACATGTCTTAAGTCTGGCCTGGACAATAGCCTAGTCTATAGTCTGGAATATAGTCTAGTCTGTAGCCTGGACTATAGTCAGTCTATAGTCTAGATTATAATTTAGTCTATAGTCTGGACAATATTTCTAGTCTATAGTCAAGTTTCTAGTCTATAATTCATTTTATAGTCAGGACTATTGCCAAGTCGTCAGAAAATAGTCGGAGTATAGTGTGTATAAAGTCTGGACTATTATATATATAATCTGGAGACTTGTCTATAGTCTAGTCTATAGTCTAGTCTATAGTCTAGTCTAAGAGTCTAGTCTATAGTCTAGTCTATAGTCTAGTCTATAGTCTAGTTATAGTCTAGTTATAGTCTAGGTATAGTCTATAGTCTAGTGTATAGTCTAGTGTATAGTCTAGTCTATAGTCTAGTGTATAGTCTAGTCTATAGTCTAGTGTATAGTCTAGTCTATAGTCTAGTCTATAGTTTAGTCTATAGTCTAGTGTATAGTCTAGTCTATAGTCTAGTCTATAGTCTAGTCTATAGTCTAGTCTATAGTCTAGTCTATAGTCTAGTCTATAGTCTAGTCTATAGTCTAGTCTATAGTCTAGTCTATAGTCTAGTCTATAGTCTAGTCTATAGTCTAGTCTATAGTGTAGTCTATAGTCTAGTCTATAGTCTAGTCTATAGTCTAGTCTATAGTCTAGTCTATAGTCTAGTCTATAGTCTAGTCTAGTGTATAGTCTATAGTCTAGTCTATAGTCTAGTCTATAGTCTAGTCTATAGTCTAGTCTATAGTCTAGTCTATAGTCTAGTCTATAGTCTAGTCTATAGTCTAGTCTATAGTCTAGTCTATAGTCTAGTCTATAGTCTAGTCTATAGTCTAGTCTATAGTCTAGTCTATAGTCTAGTCTATAGTCTAGTCTATAGTCTAGTCTATAGTCTTATATAGTCTAGTATAGTCTAGTCTATAGTCTAGTCTATAGTCTAGTCTATAGTCTAGTCTATAGTCTAGTCTATAGTCTAGTCTATAGTCTAGTCTATAGTCTAGTCTATAGTCTAGTCTATAGTCTAGTCTATAGTCTAGTCTATAGTCTAGTCTATAGTCTAGTCTATAGTCTAGTCTATAGTCTAGTCTATAGTCTAGTCTATAGTCTAGTCTATAGTCTAGTCTATAGTCTAGTCTATAGTCTAGTCTATAGTCTAGTCTATAGTCTAGTCTATAGTCTAGTCTATAGTCTAGTCTATAGTCTAGTCTATAGTCTAGTCTATAGTCTAGTCTATAGTCTAGTCTATAGTCTAGTCTATAGTCTAGTCTATAGTCTAGTCTATAGTCTAGTCTATAGTCTAGTCTATAGTCTAGTCTATAGTCTAGTCTATAGTCTAGTCTATAGTCTAGTCTATAGTCTAGTCTATAGTCTAGTCTATAGTCTAGTCTATAGTCTGTCTATAGTCTAGTCTATAGTCTAGTCTATAGTCTAGTCTATAGTCTAGTCTATAGTCTAGTCTATAGTCTAGTCTATAGTCTAGTCTATAGTCTAGTCTATAGTCTAGTCTATAGTCTAGTCTATAGTCTAGTCTATAGTCTAGTCTATAGTCTAGTCTATAGTCTAGTCTATAGTCTAGTCTATAGTCTAGTCTATAGTCTAGTCTATAGTCTAGTCTATAGTCTAGTCTATAGTCTAGTCTATAGTCTAGTCTATAGTCTAGTCTATAGTCTAGTCTATAGTCTAGTCTATAGTCTAGTCTATAGTCTAGTCTATAGTCTAGTCTATAGTCTAGTCTATAGTCTAGTCTATAGTCTAGTCTATAGTCTAGTCTATAGTCTAGTCTATAGTCTAGTCTATAGTCTAGTCTATAGTCTAGTCTATAGTCTAGTCTATAGTCTAGTCTATAGTCTAGTCTATAGTCTAGTCTATAGTCTAGTCTATAGTCTAGTCTATAGTCTAGTCTATAGTCTAGTCTATAGTCTAGTCTATAGTCTAGTCTATAGTCTAGTCTATAGTCTAGTCTATAGTCTAGTCTATAGTCTAGTCTATAGTCTAGTCTATAGTCTAGTCTATAGTCTAGTCAATAGTCTAGTCTATAGTCTAGTCTATAGTCTAGTCTATAGTCTAGTATATAGTCTAGTCTATAGTCTAGTCTATAGTCTAGTCTATAGTCTAGTCTATAGTCTAGTCTATAGTCTAGTCTATAGTCTAGTCTATAGTCTAGTCTATAGTCTAGTCTATAGTCTAGGCTATAGTCTAGTCTATAGTCTAGTCTATAGTCTAGTCTATAGTCTAGTCTATAGTCTAGTCTATAGTCTAGTCTAGACTCGTTTATAGTCTAGTCTATTATACAGTCTATTGTCTATGGTCTAGTATATAGTCTAGACTAGTGATTAATCTATATTCTTACTGAAAACCCCGATTTAGTCACGTTTTGACCTAGTGCCTCTAGTCTCCTCAGAAAATGGGCTTTCATTTAAAAGCTCGATTATTGGTGGAAAGTAAAAGTGATCATAGATGTGTTTTCCTCTAGAATATTTTAACATTTTTACTGTTTTTGTTTAGACAATAAAAATTTGAATTATCCATGGCTGTGACGCACTAATTTAAAAAGAGAGCGATTGTAAGAGATGAAAAAAAAACGTAAACAATTGTAACACTTTAATAATTAAAATCTCACACTCTCTTCTGTGTTTTTGAAAAAAATCCCAAGGAAAATACAAATGATGATCTTTTGTAATAAAAATAATATTTTTTTATATATTTATTTTATTCTATTTCAAAAATATTTTTCTATTTTATTTTTCATCTGTCTGTACTTGTTTCTCCAAGTGATAATGATTCACACTTACAATTTAAAGAGAGTAATTGCTTGTTATTATTTTTTTTGTTGTGTGTTTTTAACTAGCAGAAAAAACCTGTTGCTAATTATTTAAGAGATGGCGAGTGAGGAGTATTTGTATTTTCTCTTTCATTAAGAGAGTGCAATCATTTGTTTTGGCTTTTTTCAAATGTATTGTTCAATAAAAAGAGCTGTGCGTTTGTTTGTCTTTTAATTTTTTGTATAAAAAACAACCAGGCATGGACAATTCATTACTTTAGTACTTTTTTTAGTCTATAGTACATAGAGTCTTGTCTATAGTCTAGTATAGAGTCTAGTTTATAGTCTAGCCCATAGTCTTGTCTATAGTTCAGTTTATAGGCAAATCTATAGTCTAGTCTATAGTTTAGTATATAGTTAGAGTATACTGTAGTCTATAGTCTAGTCAATGGTCTAGTCTATAGTCTAGACTATAGTCTAATCTATAGTCTAGTCTATAGTCTAGTCTATAGTCTAGTCTATAGTCTAGTCTATAGTCTAGTCTATAGTCTAGTCTATAGTCTAGTCTATAGTCTAGTCTATAGTCTAGTCAATAGCCTAGTCTATAGTTTAGTCTATAGCCTAGTCTATAGTCTAGTCTATAGTCTAGTCTATAGTCTAGTCTATTGTCTAGTCTATAGTCTAGTCTAAGGTCTAGTCTATAGTCTAGTCTATAGTCTAGTCTATAGTTTAGTCTATAGTCTAGTCTATAGTCTAGTCTATAGTCTAGTCTATAGTCTAGTCTATAGTCTAGTCTACAGTATAGTCTATAGTCTAGTCTATAGTCTAGTCTACAGTCTAGTCTAGTCTAGTCTAGTCTATAGTCTATTGTCTATAGTCTATAGTCTATAGTCTATAGTCTATAGTCTATAGTCTATAGTCTATAGTCTAGTCTAGTCTATAGTCTATAGTCTATAGTCTAGTCTACAGTATAGTCTATAGTCTAGTCTATAGTCTAGTCTATTGTCTAGTCTATAGTCTAGTCTAAGGTCTAGTCTATAGTCTAGTCTATAGTCTAGTCTATAGTTTAGTCTATAGTCTAGTCTATAGTCTAGTCTATAGTCTAGTCTATAGTCTAGTCTAGTCTAGTCTAGTCTTGTCTAGTCTACAGTCTAGTCTAGTCTAGTCTAGTCTAGTCTATAGTCTAGTCTATAGACTAGTCTATAGTCTAGTCTATAGTCTAGTCCAGTCTATAGTCTAGTCCTTAGCCTAGCCTGTGGTCTAGTCTGTAGTCTAGTCTATAGTCTAGTATATAGTCTAGTCTATAGTCTAGTCTATAGTCTAGTCTATAGTCTAGTCTACAGTCTAGTCTATAGTCTAGTCTACAGTATAGTCTATAGTCTAGTCTATAGTCTAGTCTACAGTCTAGTCTAGTCTAGTCTATAGTCTATTGTCTATAGTCTATAGTCTATAGTCTATAGTCTATAGTCTATAGTCTATAGTCTATAGTCTATAGTCTATAGTCTATAGTCTATAGTCTATAGTCTATAGTCTATAGTCTATAGTCTAGTCTAGTCTTGTCTAGTCTACAGTCTAGTCTAGTCTAGTCTAGTCTAGTCTATAGTCTAGTCTATAGACTAGTCTATAGTCTAGTCTATAGTCTAGTCCAGTCTATAGTCTAGTCCTTAGCCTAGCCTGTGGTCTAGTCTGTAGTCTAGTCTATAGTCTAGTATATAGTCTAGTCTATAGTCTAGTCTGTAGTCTAGTCTATAGTCTAGTATATAGTCTAGTCTATAGTCTAGTCTATAGTCTAGTCTATAGTCTAGTCTATAGTCTAGTCTATAGTCTAGTCTATAGTCTAGTCTACAGTATAGTCTATAGTCTAGTCTATAGTCTAGTCTACAGTCTAGTCTAGTCTATAGTCTATTGTCTATAGTCTATAGTCTATAGTCTATAGTCTATAGTCTATAGTCTATAGTCTATAGTCTAGTCTAGTCTAGTCTATAGTCTATAGTCTATAGTCTATAGTCTATAGTCTATAGTCTATAGTCTATAGTCTATAGTCTATAGTCTATAGTCTAGTAGTCTAGTCTATAGTCTAGTCTAGTCTAGTCTATAGTCTAGTCTAGTCTATAGTCTAGTCTATAGTCTAGTCTAGTAGTCTAGTCTAGTCTAGTCTAGTCTAGTCTAGTCTAGTCTAGTCTAGTCTAGTCTAGTCTAGTCTAGTCTAGTCCTCCAGTCTAGTCTAGTCTAGTTCTAGTCTAGTCTAGTCTACAGTCTAGTCTAGTCTAGTCTAGTCTAGTCTAGTCTAGTCTAGTCTAGTCTAGTCTAGTCTAGTCTATAGTCTAGTCCTATAGACTAGTCCTATAGTCTAGTCTATAGTCCTAGTCCAGTCTATAGTCTAGTCCTTAGCCTAGCCTGTGGTCTAGTCTATAGTCTAGTCCTATAGTCTAGTATATAGTCTAGCTATAGTCTAGTCTATAGTCTAGTCTGTAGTCTAGTCTACAGTCTAGTCTATAGTCTAGTCTATAGTCTAGTCTATAGTCTAGTCTATAGTCTAGTCTATAGTCAGTCTATAGTCTAGTCTATAGTCTAGTCTATAGTCTAGTCGTCTATAGTTAGTCTATAGTCTAGTCTATAGTCTAGTCTATAGTCTAGTCTATAGTCTAGTCTATAGTCTAGTCTATAGTCTAGTCTATAGTCTAGTCTATAGTCTAGTCTATAGTCTAGTCTATAGTCTAGTCTATAGTCTAGTCTATAGTCTAGTCTATAGTCTAGTCTATAGTCTAGGTCTATAGTCTAGTCTATAGTCTAGTCTATAGTCTAGTCTATAGTCTAGGTCTATTAGTCTATGTCTAGTATAGTCTAGTCTATAGTCTAGTCTATAGTCTAGTCTATAGTCTAGTCTATAGTCTAGTCTATAGTCTAGTCTATAGTCTAGTCTATAGTCTAGTCTATAGTCTAGTCTATAGTCTAGTCTATAGTCTAGTCTATAGTCTTAGTCTATAGTCTAGTCTATAGTATAGTCTAGTCTATAGTCTAGTCTATAGTCTAGTCTATAGTCTAGTCTATAGTCTAGTCTATAGTCTAGTCTATAGTCTAGTCTATAGTCTAGTCTATAGTCTAGTCTATAGTCTAGTCTATAGTCTAGTCTATAGGTCTAGTCTATAGTCTAGTCTATAGTCTAGTCTATAGTCTAGTCTATAGTCTAGTCTATAGTCTAGTCTATAGTCTAGTCTATAGTCTAGTCTATAGTCTAGTCTATAGTCTAGTCTATAGTCTAGTCTAGTCTATAGTCTAGTTATAGTCTAGTCTATAGTCTAGTCTATAGTCTAGTCTATAGTCTAGTCTATAGTCTAGTCTATAGTCTAGTCTATAGTCTAGTCTATAGTCTAGTCTATAGTCTAGTCTATAGTCTAGTCTATAGTCTAGTCTATAGTCTAGTCTATAGTCTAGTCTATAGTCTAGTCTATAGTCTAGTCTATAGTCTAGTCTATAGTCTAGTCTATAGTCTAGTCTATAGTCTAGTCTATAGTCTAGTCTATAGTCTAGTCTTAGTCTATAGTCTAGTCTATAGTCTAGTCTATAGTCTAGTCTATAGTCTAGTCTTAGTCTATGGCTAGTCTATAGTCTAGTCTATAGTCTAGTCTATAGTCTAGTCTATAGTCTAGTCTATAAAGTAGTCTATAGTCTAGTCTATAGACTAGGCTATAGTCTTCTCTATAGTCTATTCTATAGTCTAATCTATTGTCTATTCTATAGGTCTAATCTATAGTCTAGTCTGTAGTCCAGTGTATAGTCTACATATTGGTCTATTCTCTAGTCTATTCTATATTTCTGTCCCTAGTCTAGTCTTTACTCCAGTCTAGCCTTTAGCTTAGTGCCTATTCTTGTCTCTATACTAGTCTCTAGTCTAGTCTCTATTCTAGTCTCTAGTCTAGTCTCTAGTCTAGTCCTTTGTCTAGTTGATAGTTTGACTTTTTTATTGAAAACAAAAATTAGTTTTCTGGGGATACTGGAGATGCTAGGCCCGACAGTATAGGGCCTCATTATTTTAAAGTTAGAATCTTTACTTTATTAACTTTTTGTTTCCTAACTGAAGTGAAATATTTCGTATTTTTTTATAAAAAAAACTATGTTTTCTATTCTTTCCAGTTGCCTCTTGCAAAGAACGTTGGCGCAACATAAGAGCGGCCTTTGCCCGTTCCATTAACATCTATAAAACCCACAGTGGACCGAATCGTGTTAAACCCTATTATTTGCACAAAGAACTATCCTTTCTAGTTAAGCCCATGATGGAAGGACGTGATAAAAAAGATGAATATGAGGACACACAAGATGGTGCTGGTGTAGCAGGTGGTGGGGGTGGTTCTGCTGCAGGCAGTGGTGTAAAAGATGAAGAAACGGGCGATGAAGAGGGTGCGGCAGGGGATGAAGATGATGAGGATGAGGCGGATGCCGAAGAAGAGGAAGATGATTATCCAGATGAAACGGCAGAAATTAAATCAGCCTTTGAGGCCTTAAATCCGGATATACACATACAGGCGGAGACTAGATATCAAAAATTATTGAGACAGAATAATAATAATAATAATCAAGATTTTGAGGCGAGCAGTATTTTTGAGCCGCATACTGAGTTTACCACCAATAGTGATGCCGAAAATGAGTTCCATTTTCCGGATGATAATTTGTCACAAAGTGAAACGGAACGTAGAGTACCCACTCACCTATTACAGCAGCAACAACAGCAACAGAATGGTGTTAAAAGACCCATGCATTTGGAAACGGAAACTTTTGAAACTAAACGTGTTAAACTTTCACAATTATCTCAGGCTCACAATGAAAATGATATACGTTTCCTGGAGGCCTTACTGCCCGATATGGCTATTATGAATACTAGACAAAAAATAGTATTCAAACGAAAAATCTATCAAACTTTGGAAGAGGTTTTCGAGAATTCGAATGATTTTCCCAATATAGAGAAAATCGATAATAAAATAGAGCAATTAAACCACAATAATAGTTCGGCTCATATTCAGGCTCATTTAAATTATCCCTCTAGCCCTATATCGCCTCAAACCCAGATAAGACAAACAGTTTTAACGGTCAACTCCACCACCGCCCGCAATTTGATTAATAATATCGCCAATTTGAATGAGGCGGAGCTTCAAAAAGTTAATGGTTTCTTGCAGAACTCGTTGAGGAATCATCACAATCAATCACGTCTAGCTAATGTTAGTAACGGTCCCAGCAGTGCTGCCGCCAAACTAATGTCTTCTACTCCCAAAATAACCATTACAAAGGTGACTTGTCCACCACCTGCCTCCTTAAGAAATCTAACCTTAACAAAGCCTCCTTCTCCCAGTCCTGCCACCGTTTCCACAACTATACACAATCCTGCCTCTGCGGTAATAACTTCCAATGTACATTCTACCACCTCCTCTTTGCCGGGTAAAGCTTCCAATACACAAAATGGTTCTACAGCAAATCAAAACAATAACTCCCCTTGGACTCAACTGTTGCCTATAACCATTAAAGATGAAATCGAAGATGTTGATATAGTTTAAACACTTTTTTCAAAAACTAAAGCTTTTTAAAAGCTTTAAACTTTATTTGTTACTTTTTAAGCTTTTTCTCAAGCATTTTATTCCTTTTCAAAATCCTTTTCTAAAAAGGATTTCTTTACTCTAAACAATGGGTCCCCTTATTTCCCCTCAAAATCTGCCTGTTTTACTTAATTAACATGACTTACTTAATTTATCCTATAAAACTTAATTTTAGCTTAAGTTAAAGCTTAAGTTAAGTTTCCCTTTTTATGTTATTTTATTAAACTTTATAAACTTAAAACTTTTAAAGAATAATCTTTTAATGTGTAATTTTATTCTTTTTTATTGTCCTTTTTTTATAAGTACTTAATTTAAGTATGTTTTATACAATAAGTGAAATTAATTAAATTAACAAATTTTTCTTTTGTTTGTTGTGTTTTATGCTGTAAAAGTTTTATTAATATTATATATATTTTTTATATAGAATTTAAGACAAATAAATAATAAAATTTTAAGGTTTTTTAACAAAAAAAATTGTTACAAAAAGCATTTTCATTACAAAAGAAATGGGTAAGTTAAAAAACAGATACAATGGACTACACTATAGACTAAATTCGTTTTCAGAAATTTAAATAAAATAGTGGACCTGGCACATTTCTGAATTCATTCTCGGATTCAGCATAGGGTTAAGTTTGGAATACAAAATTTTAGTCACTTTCGACCTAAAGGTACCCAGAAAATAGCATAAAATGCTCAAAATAAAAAATTGTCGGGAATTTTGATGAAATATATAGTTCATTCTGAGTCCATTTTCGGATTCAGCATGGGATTTTGGAAAGGAAAGGTCAGTTTCCAGCCACATCTGGCCAACAGGTTCCGAGTTTAAAGCTAACAAAAAAATTAATTAGAAATTTTGACCTATAATTGGTTCTAGGTCTAACATTCTTCAAAATTTATAAAATTTTTTTACTTTTGCTTCAAACTCGGAAACTACTGGCCGGATGTGGCTGGAAACTCACCTTTCTGGTAAATTTCCATGCTGAATCCGAAAATGAACTCAGAATGGACCTGGGACCTATATTTCATCAAAATTCCCGAAAATTTTTTAATTTGGACAATTAATGCTATAACTTGTGGATTTTGAGGACGAGAACTGCTAAATTTTTACATTTGAAATTAGAACTTACACTGAATCCGAAAATGGTTTCAGAATTGGGCTAGGTCCAATATTTCATCAAAATTTGAGAACAAACATTTTGAACCAATTTTCCCACGAAATTCCATTTTGCCGCATAATTTTTCCAAATATCCTCAATGATGGTTCTTGTCTTGACTAATTTTAATACTTACTAGCCTAGACTAGAACCGCAGAATTGAGCAAAAGTCGTATGTAAAATTAAATTTCGTGGGAAAATTGTTCTGAATTTTCTTTCAGATATATGGATGAAATATTGGACCTAGCTCAATTCTGAATTCACTTTCGGATTCAGCATAGGGTTGAGTTTGAAATACAAAATATTAGTAACTCTCGACCTCAAGCTACCCAGAAAATAGCATAAAATGCTCAAAATAAAAAATAGTCGGGAATTTTGATGAAATATTGGTCCTAGGTCCATTCTGAGTCCATTTTCGGATTCAGCATGGGATTTTACCAGAAAGGTCAGTTTCCAGCCACATCCGGCCAATAGGTTCCGAGTTTAAAGCTAACAAAAAAATTAATTAGAAATTTTGACCTATTATTAGTCCTAGGTCCAACATTCATCAAAATTTCTAAAATTTTTTTAGTTTTGCTTCAAACTCGGAAACTACTGGCCGAAACTGGCTGGAAAGTGACCATTCTAGTAAAATCGCATGCTGAATCCGAAAATGAACTCAGAATGGACCTACGACCTATATTTCATCAAAATTCCCGAAAATTTTTTAATTTGGACAATTAATGCTATTACTTGGGGATTTTGAGGACGAGAAGTGCTAAAATTCTACACATGAAATTAGAACTTACGCTGAATCCGAAAATGGTTTCAGAATTGAGCTAGGTCCAATATTTCATCAAAATTTCTGAACAATCATTTTGAACCAATTTTCCCACGAAATTTAATTTTACATACGATTTTTGCTCAGTTTTGCGGTTCTAGTCTAGGCTAGTAAGTATTAATATTAGTCAAGACAAGAACCGTCATTTATAGAGGAAATTTAGAAAAATTATGCGTCAAAATGGAATTTCGTGGAAAAATTGGTTCAAAATGTTTGTTCAGAAATTTTGATGAAATATTGGACCTGGCTCAATTCTAAAACCATTTTCGGATTCAGCGTAAGTTCTATTTGCAAATGTAAAATTTTAGCAGTTCTCGTCCTCAAAATCCCCAAGTAATAGCATTAAATGTCCAAATCAAAAAATTTCCGGGAATTTTGATGAAATATAGGTCCTAGGTCCATTCTGAGTCCATTTTCGGATTCAGCATGGGAATTTACCAGAAAGGTCAGCTTCCAGCCAGATTCGGCCAGTAGTTTCCGAGTTTGAAGCAAAACTAAAAATTTTTTATAAATTTTGATGAATGTTGGACCTAGAACCAATAATAGGTCAAAATTTCTAATTTATTTTTTGTTAGCTTTAAACTCGGAACCTATTGGCCGGATGTGGCTGGAAACTCACCTTTCTGGTAAAATCCCACGCTGAATCCGAAAATGGACTCAGAATGGACCTAGGACCAATAGTTCATCAAAATTCCCGACAATTTTTTATTTTGAGCATTTTATGCTATTTTCTCGGTACCTTGAGGTCGAGAGTTACTAAAATTTTGTAATCCAAACTTAACCCTATGCTGAATCCAAAAATGAATTCAGAATTGAGTTAGGTCTAATATTTCATCCATATTTCTGAAAGAAAATTCAGAACAATTTTCCCACGAAATTTAATTTTACATACGATTTTTTGTCAATGCTGCGGTTCTAGTCTAGGCTAGTAAGTATTAAAATTAGTCAAGACAAGAACCGTCATTTATAGAGGAAATTTGGAAAAATTATGCGGCAAAATGGTATTTCGTGGGAAAATTGGTTCAAAATGTCCGTTCAGAAAGTTTGATGAATTATTGGACCTAGCTCAATTCTGAAACCATTTTCGGATTCAGCGTAAGTTCAAATTGCAAATGTAAAGTTTTAGCAGTTCTCGTCCTCAAAATCCCCAAGTAATATCATTAATTGTCCAAATCAAAAAATTTCCGGGAATTTTGATGATATATTAGTCCTAGGTCCATTCTGAGTCCATTTTCGGATTCAGCATGGGATTTTACCAGAAAGGTCACTTTCCAGCCAGATTCGGCCAGTAGTTTCCGAGTTTGAAGAAAAACTAAAAAATTTTTATAAATTTTGATGAATGTTGGACCTAGGACCAATAATAGGTCAAAATTTCTAATTTATTTTTTTGTTAGCTTTAAACTCGGAACCTATTGGCCGGATGTGGCTGGAAACTCACCTTTCTGGTAAAATCCCACGCTGAATCCGAAAATGGACTCAGAATGGACCTAGGACCAATATTTCATCAAAATTCCCGACAATTTTTTATTTTGAGCATTTTATGCTATTTTCTCGGTACCTTGAGGTCGAGAGTTACTAAAATTTTGTAATCCAAACTTAACCCTATGCTGAATCCAAAAATGAATTCAGAATTGAGTTAGGTCCAATATTTCATCCATATTTCTGAAAGAAAATTCAGAACAATTTTCCCACGAAATTTAATTTTACATACGATTTTTGTCAATGCTGCGGTTCTAGTCTAGGCTAGTAAGTATTAAAATTAGTCAAGACAAGAACCGTCATTTATAGAGGAAATTTGGAAAAATTATGCGGCAAAATGGAATTTCGTGGGAAAATTGGTTCAAAATGTCCGTTCAGAAAGTTTGATGAATTATTGGACCTAGCTCAATTCTGAAACCATTTTCGGATTCAGCGTAAGTTCTAATTGCAAATGTAAAGTTTTAGCAGTTCTCGTCCTCAAAATCCCCAAGTAATAGCATCAATTGTCCAAATCAAAAAATTTCCGGGAATTTTGATGAAATATTGGTCCTAGGTCCATTCTGAGTCCATTTTCGGATTCAGCATGGGATTTTACCAGAAAGGTCACTTTCCAGCCAGATTCGGCCAGTAGTTTCCGAGTTTGAAGCAAAACTAAAAAATTTTTATAAATTTTGATGAATGTTGGACCTAGGAACAATAATAGGTCAAAATTTCTAATTTATTTTTTTGTTAGCTTTAAACTCGGAACCTGTTGGCCGGATGTGGCTGGAAACTCACCTTTCTGGTAAAATCCCACGCTGAATCCGAAAATGGACTCAGAATGGACCTAGGACCAATATTTCATCAAAATTCCCGACAATTTTTTATTTTGAGCATTTTATGCTATTTTCTCGGTACCTTGAGGTCGAGAGTTACTAAAATTTTGTAATCCAAACTTAACCCTATGCTGAATCCGAAAATGAATTCAGAATTGAGTTAGGTCCAATATTTCATCCATATTTCTGAAAGAAAATTCAGAACAATTTTCCCACGAAATTTAATTTTACATACGATTTTTTGTCAATGCTGCGGTTCTAGTCTAGGCTAGTAAGTATTAAAATTAGTCAAGACAAGAACCGTCATTTATAGAGGAAATTTGGAAAAATTATACGGCAAAATGGTATTTCGTGGGAAAATTGGTTCAAAATGTCCGTTCAGAAATTTTGATGAATTATTGGACCTAGCTCAATTCTGAAACCATTTTCGGATTCAGCGTAAGTTCTAATTGCAAATGTAAAGTTTTAGCAGTTCTCGTCCTCAAAATCCCCAAGTAATAGCATTAATTGTCCAAATTAAAAAAATTCCGGGAATTTTGATGAAATATTGGTCCCAGGTCCATTCTGAGTCCATTTTCGGATTCAGCATGGGATTTTACCAGAAAGGTCACTTTCCAGCCAGATTCGGCCAGTAGTTTCCGAGTTTGAAGCAAAACTAAAAAATTTTTATAAATTTTGATGAATGTTGGACCTAGGAACAATAATAGGTCAAAATTTCTAATGTATTTTTTTGTTAGCTTTAAACTCGGAAACTATTGGCCAGATGTGGCTGGAAACTCACCTTTCTGGTAAAATCCCATGCTGAATCCGAAAATGGACTCAGAATGGACCTAGGACCAATATTTTATCGAAATTCCCGACAATTTTTTATTTTGAGCAATTTATGCTATTTTCTCGGTACCTTTAGGTCGAGAGTTACTAAAATTTGTAATCCAAACTTAACCCTATGATGAATCCGAAAATGAATTCAGAATTGAGCTAGGTCCAATATTTCATCAATATTTCTGAAAGAAAATTCAGACAAATTTTCCCACGAAATTTAATTTTACATACGATTTTTGCTCAATTCAGCGGTTCT